TTTATTTATTATTCTTATATATAAATTAACATATATTACAACATGTAAACATTAGTAAAAATTATTCTAAAAATATCGCGAATAGAATAAATGAAAGAGAGAGAGAGAGAGAGAGAGAGAGAGAGAGAGAGAGAGAGAAATGTTCCATATTCTGCAGGTAATAAAAAACTTTATTTCTATTGTATCGTTCAATATCGTTTTACGAAAGCTTTAATTATCGCGTTCAAATTTGATCGCAGAGTGATAAACTGCCATGATTTATGTCTGCTATGATTAAACAGATCGAGGGATTTGGTACGAAGACTGGAAAGCCAATGAAGTCGGTGATCGTGTTAAATTGCGGAATCCTGTCGACGAAACGCGCATACGAAGTATCATCCATGTTACAAATATGAACAAACTGCATTATCACATAAAATCACGCGTAAAATCATAATATTAAAAATTAGAATATTAAATATAATTTTTTCATGTGAATTAATAATACACATTTGTGAAAAATTCTGTGCATTAATAACTATAATTTTAACGTCCTTTTGTCAAAAATCTATGAGCATGATTAAAAAATAAATAATAAATTCATTTTATAAACAGATGTCAAATAAAATATGCTACACAATTATTAAAAAATCTATTCTTTTGAATAATATAATAATAAAAAAAAATATCTTCTAAATAACTTTTGCTAGAATTTAATTTACTTCATAATTTATTTACTGAATATCAATCATTTAATTGTATTTTATACGTATTCCAAGCTTTATAAAAAAAAAATCGATTCCCAGACGCAATAAAATTCTATAGGTAGTCATTATGAATGCACTCCTCGTTCGTAATATAGAAATACCTGCGTTTAGTATTCATATTTGGTTAACTTATTAATTAATTAGAATCCTAAATGGAAAGTTGAATAAAAAATTTGATATTAAAAATAATATTAGTATAGATAAGGGCTTCTTAATACCCGCTGATGAGATTTCTTTGAATTTTTCTCCAATTAAGTTTTTAATCAAATATCTCTCATTATATGTACATAAGTTTCTCGCGTGCAACGTTGAAATATCCATTTTATAATATGATCAGGTATTCTATAGAAAATATAAAAATAAATAAAGTTGTGGAGACAAGTACGCGTTCAGTTAATCAACAAGCAAAAAACAAATAAACAAATGTAAATTGAGACATAAATTAAATTGATAATATCTATACACGCAGTACCGTTTTAAATACAGGTCATGTGTGCAATTTTGAAACTCGCGTTACAGTTTGATTATAATCTCGATTGATGAACAAACTGGAACATTCATTGGGAAAGAAACGAATAAGTAAACTTCATTTTTGTTTTAACAAAATTTAGGATCAAATTGACATAAGAAATTTGACAAGGTGTTTAAATTGTTTTAAAAACTTTAAATATTTAATAAAAGAATATATTTCTAACTCGGTAATGGAATCATACATTATTGCTAATTTTCTTATACGTACGAAATGTTATAAGCAAATCAAAGAAATCCAGTAAAAAAATTTTTATGTATAAATATATGCATAAGATATAAACATATACAAACATATGTATAATATATTATACATAATATTATATATAAAGTGTGTTTATATATATTTATACATTTTTTTTTGTAAAATTAATATTTCGTATAAGAAGAAAATAATAATAATAAAGAA